GCATTTCAAATATTCAAAGCATGTAACAGAACATGCATATAACCATACCCCCATGGGACATGGTGGAACCACAACATGGCTAAGCCGAGGACATGAAAGCTTACCTTGCAAGCTAACACCCAAAGCCAAGAGTCCACAGCTCAAAGTCCAAACACAAAATATTCACAATCTGTTATGGACCAACAATACATCAACAATCATACTCTATCAACCTCCATTACGTTATACGTCTTAAGGCTTCACACAAGCCATAAGCCCTTAATCATATGATTCTGACTTACATTAATTAATTACAGAAGTTCAACTTCCTCAAACTAGGGTCCACAAACCCATAGATCAGTTCTGGATGAACAGTACGCTACTAATCCTCGCAAACCCAGAATATCCGGATATTCCTCGGGGGCATATCCGAATATCCAATATCCGGATATCCCACAGGCAATATCCGGATATCCAATATCCGGATATCACTCTGGCAATATCCGGATATCAATATCTGGATATCTAGATCCCCATATTCGGATATCAATATCCGGATATTCCACGGCAAATATCCGGATATTTCGCGACAGAATGCAATTTCTGCATTTCGCGAAGATATTCTTCCAAGGTTCCATTTTTAACACTTTCAGAAGCTTAAACATGCATCTTAAGGTTCATATGACAGTTGGTTACTTGTTTAATGGGTTTTCGTTTTATCCTTTAACATAACACAACAAACTTTCCTACCCTCACAACATTTTGTGGGGCCCACACTTTTTAAAACAAAAAAATAAATAAAAAATTAAGGCACGCAAAACGAATCTCTATAACATTACACTATCACTTTTCCTACAACATAACAATCATAAAACCCTTGTTTAATTCATTAAACATGCCAAGACTTCGTCTCTAACCAACAAAACTCAAGACCAAGGTTGGTACAACTTACCACAGCTCAAAACTCAGCAAAATGGGTGCTCTTGGAGCTCACACAACAGCTCCAAGGTACTGACTTCAAGGGTGCAAGAAAATGCTACAAAAGCTTGGCCCTTTTCCCACAAAGGAAGCTCCTTGAAGCCTCACAAACCAAGAACAACACTCCACCACAACCAAACCAGCAAGTCAGCCCTCAAACCCTTCCCAAACTGAACCTCACAACTCAGAAAAGGCACCCTAAGCACTCTCCAATGCTCACACTCAAGTGTTTACTTAATCAAGAAGTGAAACAATGATCAAAGGTGGCGACTTTGGTGAGAAAAAGGAGGAGAAATGAAGAAGCAAGGTGGATGGTCACAAGGCTTCAGCAAGGTTCACGTAGGAGGCACAATAATGACCTAGGATCATGTGCCACTAGGTATATATAGTCACTTAACCAATAAACACACAGTATTAGCTTTAATTGCTACGCTTAGCATTTTAATCCCAAACTTTGGATTCTTAACCTACTTAATTTTACAAGAATTGATATATTTTTCTTATAATTTTCGGAGTACCTTTCCGGTACACGCTTTTCATAGCCAGTACCAATTTCTGGCACCAGTTCTCATTATTTTGACTTGAAACTCGTTTTACAAGTCCTACATATTATTCTAGTAATTATCATGCACTTATTATAATTTTTCGGGATACTTTTTTGGTACACATTTATAAGCAGAACCGGTATCTGCACTTTTCTTCCGAAAAATGACTTTCAACATTCTTAATCACTTACTATAATTATTAAGGCCTCAAAATAATTATTAGGGTCAATTATAGAATTAATTCTTAATTTCACATAATTAATTAATTAACTTCCTTAATTAACGGTGCGGGTTCTTAGAAGTACCTTATTGGCTAAACATAAAGAAAAGACTGAAAACAAGAATTGCGAGAAAATAGTATTTCTCTTTTCTGAATTTTATTAATAAAAAGTGAGGGTTCTAATAATACCGAAAGCGCATAGAAATGTTAGGATTTGGTAAAAGAGTAACCCTTCAGTTCTCAATTTTCATTATCAAAATAACAAAATTCCACTCCTTCTTCGGATTAAATCACCAACTTTGTCCACGCAAGTGGTTGCTCCAAATGTTGGATTTTCATGCTTTGCGCCGCCACAAGCGCTCACTTCAAAATTTGGATTTTCTTAGTATGCGCTCGCACGAGTCGTCGCTCCAAATCATGTATTCTTATCCAACGTTTGCTCAAGTTGTTGCTTCAAATCCTGGATCCGCCTTCCGAGCTTTTCATTTTCTATGTCATGCGGGTCTATCTGACGCGATTGTCTGTCTATTTTAGAAACGAATCTATGTCCCTTTCCTTCACAATTCCGCCATCAACAACCTTTACGATTCTGTTCAGCCATTGGTTGAAGGCATCCTAGTGCTCTGATACCAAATATTGCCGAAGCAGTACCTCATTGGCTAAATAGAAAGAAAGACTGAAAACAAGGATTGCGAGAAACTACTATTTATCTTTTCTGAATTTTATTAACCAAAAAAAAAAAATAACAATAGAGTTCTCCATGGCTTAAATATGCAGAACAAAATAAAATGAAAATAAGCATAAAAGCCCCAAACTATGGAATAAACCTAAAAAGCCCAAAATGACACACACAAGCACACATAGATATTTCTAAGTCAATCTTAGGTGCATCATAAGATAATGATATAAGATATTATGCCTATTTTTTTCATGTCTACCATACCTACACATCCTTAACACTGTTATATAATATATTCTCTCTCCTCTTGAGATTTTGATTCAATTGTGTTGAAAAACAATAAGTAGAATATGCATGAGAAAAGATAGACATAATATCTTGTCTCTCAAATAATTCATAAGCAATCCATTCGTATATATTAAATTTAGAGCACACAGTTTTGAAAGTGATTTAGTGCCAATTCAAGAAGTCTTATTTTTACCTTCTATTCTCCTTATAAACAGAACTTTAGCCAAACATGTTTTTATAAAAGCTCTTATTATAAAAAGAGTTTTTATTATAATGAATAAAAAAGGCAAAAACTAAGTGTCTATTTGGAAAGTCTTATTTTTAGCTTCTATAGTGCCTTATTGGGAAGTCTTATTTTTAGTTTCTCTTCTTCTTATAAATAGAAGCTTAGCCAAACATATTTTTTTAAAAGCCCTTATTATAAAAAGAACTTTTTGTTATAAAGAATAAAAAAATCATAAGTTCAAAGTTCCTTTTGGGAGCTTTTTTAAAGATATATACTAGCTTTTTAGAGTTTTCATATTTATTTTCTAGTTTTACCCTTATTCTAAATTTGAATTTACCAATTTTACTTTTTATTCTAATAATCCATCCAATCTTCCTATATTTAAAACCGTCAAAACAGTTTTATATAATCACCACACAACTTTTAGCTTTTTTTTAACTTAAGTTTAAAAGCAACTTTTAGCTGTATGAAAGCTCTTATTATATAAAGGGCTTTTTTATTACAATGAATAAAAAAGAACTTATTATATAAAGTGAAAAAAGAACTTTTAGAACTTATTATATAAAGCTAAAAGCTCTCCAGAAGAGCTTTTTTTAAAGATATATACTAGCTTTTTATAGTTTTAATATTTATTTTTCAGTTTTACCGTTATTCTAAATTTGTATTTACCAATTTTACTCTTTACTTTAATAATCTGTCATAATAACAAATATTTTAATCTTTCCTTCTTCAAAACCCTCATAACACCTTTATATAATCATCAAACATCTTTTAACTTTATTTTTTAAACTTAAAAAAAATGTCAAACAGGCTTTAAAAGCTACCAAGAGGAGCTTTTTTTAATACCCACACTAGCTTCTAGAGTTCTCATATTTGTTTTTGAGTATCACCTTTATTCTAAATTTGTATTTATCAATTTTACTCTTTGCCCTAATAATTCATTCTAATAGCAAATTATTTCATCTTTCTTTTTTCAAAACGCTTATAACAGTTTTATATAATAATCAAATAACTTTTAGCTTTATTTTTAAGTGTTTTTTTTTATAACTTTAACTTAAAAATAGCTTTAAATCTTTTTTTTTAACTTAACTTAAAAGTAGATTTTACCTTAAAGAAGAAATATGCCAAGACAAGCTCTTAATCTCTCAGCCTACTACTTTTTAAGAATTAACATTTGATTCTTAACTTCTCTTCTTTTAAATTTTAAATTCAAATTATTTTATATTATGCATACACTGATACACATCTTTTATTTTTTATTTATAATTTCAAACATTTTTTTCCTAATTAATTTTAATATTCTATTATATTTAATTACTAATTATGTATGTATATTTATTTTATAATTTTAAATAGTTTAAATTTATTTTTAAAATTTCCTTAAAATTTAAAATACGTGTACAATTCACTAGTTAATTGCTAGTAGAGATATCAGATACAAATCTCAAACAATTAATAATGCCACTTCCAAAGCAATAGTTATTCCATAACTAACCAATGGATATATATCCTACTTGTAACATTTCTACTGCTGAGTCATGGCCTCAGTAGTTCATGAGTTAATTTTTTCTTACCTTCTCCATTCTCCCTCCTTATCCACATCGAAAACATGCCAAAGATCTTTTTAATAAAGATGGTTGTTTGTTAGGATTCTATAACTACTTCATAGGATAAAGACAAACTTATATAACTGGATAAGAGTGAATAAATATTTGAATCAAAAAATATTTCTACTATATAAAGGCAACTCTACTAGCATATGAAACACACCAAACTCTCCACGGGTATGGCTCCCCTAAAAGTTCTTCTCTGCATTTCCTTCTCCATTTTCCTGTTGGCCCTCTATGGCATTAATGCCACTGAAGTGTCCCATGATGGGAGAGCCATCACAATTGATGGTAAAAGGAGGATATTGATCTCTGGATCAATCCATTATCCAAGAAGCACACCCGAGGTGTAACAAATTAATCATCACATTTCACTAATCCTCTTCATTTAATTTTGTGTTGTTATTTTTCTTTGTTCTATATTTCTATATTAGCATTATTTTTTCACTAATTATTAGCACTCTTTTGTATGTATTAGATGTGGCCTGATTTGATCAAAAAATCAAAAGAAGGAGGATTGGATGCTATAGAAACATATGTTTTCTGGAATGCGCATGAACCTGCTCGTCGTGAGTATGATTTCAATGGAAATAACGATCTCATTAGATTTCTCAAAACCATTCAAGAGGAAGGACTTTATGCTGTTCTTCGCATTGGCCCTTATGTCTGTGCCGAATGGAATTATGGGTAAATATAACTGGAACTATGAGCACATCACCCTTTTATTTTAAATAAAATTACATTTTTTTTTTTTTTGATAACAATAAAATTACATTTTTATTAACAGTGAATATTGTAAAATTCTCATTTGTTTAATTTTAGAGGGATCCCCGTGTGGGTTCACAATCTTCCCGGTGTTGAGATTCGGACCGCAAATCAAGTGTACATGGTAAATAATTAATATTTTTTTAACTTACTGTAATATCGTTGGGATTTAGTTTTATATCGTACATTATTGTTGCTTACTTTTTTTTTTTTTTTTATTAATTTGGATTTGTAGAATGAAATGCAAAATTTTACTACTTTGATTGTGGATATGGTCAAAAAAGAGAAACTTTTTGCTTCTCAAGGCGGTCCCATTATTCTATCTCAGGTATATCATTTTCATCTTTCAAATTTAATTGATAACTTTATATCATAAGATTTCTTTTTTCTTCTTGACTTTATCTATCTACTAATTGGTTATTAATGATTGATAAAAAATAAAAAATAAAAGATTGAGAATGAATATGGGAATGTGATGTCGACGTATGGGGATGCTGGCAAAGCTTATATAAATTGGTGCGCCAACATGGCCGAGTCCTTGAACATTGGTGTTCCATGGATCATGTGCCAGCAACCCGATGCTCCTCAACCAATGGTATTTTTTATTCCTTATATATTGTGTTATCTAATTTATTTACTTTCTTTCTTGAAGCTAATTAATATTATTCTCTTTTAATTGAATGCTAGATCAATACTTGCAACGGTTGGTATTGTGACGACTTTGAACCCAATAATCCCAACAGTCCTAAGATGTGGACCGAAAATTGGGTTGGCTGGTAAGCTTAAATACCGTTTTTATCTGGTCTTTTTTTCAAATACAACTGTTTTAGTTTCATGGTTTCGTTATTAGTTAATTGTATTTTGTAATTAAATTATTATTATTATTATTATTTTCATTGAAAAGGTTCAAGAATTGGGGTGGCAAAGATCCACACAGAACCGCTGAAGATGTTGCCTATGCTGTTGCAAGGTTTTTCCAAACCGGAGGCACATTCCAAAACTATTATATGGTAAAATGATTCAAAGTTCAAATTTTTAACCATCATGCGGTTTTCCTTATCTTATTAGTTCTTGAAAGTAATATTATATTATAATAACATTTTGTACATATATAATTTTTTTCTTTCAGTATCATGGTGGAACCAACTTTGGTAGAACAGCTGGTGGTCCATATATTACTACTTCATATGATTATGATGCTCCTCTTGATGAATATGGTAACTTCATTTTTTTTTTTTTTTAATATTAGGTTTTATAGGATATGTTTTCTTTTCTTCGAAGAAATAAACGTTCATTTTGTGTCAAAAATTTGCAGGAAACATTGCTCAACCAAAATGGGGTCACCTCAAAGAACTTCACAGGGTTCTGAAATCAATGGAGAATAGTCTTACCAATGGAAACGTAACCGAAATTGATTATGGCAACTCTGTGAAGGTAAAATATTAATGGAAAACACAAAGCAAATTCGTTGATTATGATATTTTTTTAGGAACAAGAGAACTTAATATGAAAAACTTTAAACTTGTAGGTTACAATGTATAAAACAAATGATTCATCAAGCTGCTTCGTGAGCAACACCAACACCACCACTGATGCCACAGTAATATTTGGAGCCAATACATACACTGTTCCTGCTTGGTCTGTTACCCTTCTTCCTGATTGTCAAACCGAAGAGTATAATACAGCCAAGGTAACGTTTTTTTTTTTTTTTTATTATTGTTATAAACCAAAATATGATGGTACGTAGTTTTGTTTATTATGATAAATAGTTATGTAATTAATTGATGCATCTATGTTTTGTTATGAATTAGGTAAATGTTCAAACCTCTGTCATGGTAAAGGGTAAAAACAAAGATGAAGATGAGCCAACTGCTTTGAAGTGGGTGTGGAGAGCTGAGAATATTGATCATGCTCTCCTTGGGAAAGCTAATGTCTCTGAACATGCACTTGTTGATCAAAAAAGAGCTGCTAATGATGCCAGTGACTATCTTTGGTACATGACAAGGTAATCATACCCATTTAATTTTCTCTCTTTGTTCTTCTATTAATAAGTTGCTAACAAGTTTTTTTATTTTTTTTATTTTAATGATAGACTTGATATTGATGAAAAGGATCCAGTTTGGACAGATGATATGTCTCTTAGGATCAACGGTAGCGGTCATGTAATTCATGCATTCGTCAACGGAGAACATATTGGTAATATAACATTTACTAATTAACACTTACGGTTGAATATCGTTATTGTTAGAGAATATAATATAAATCGTTAAAAAGATCCTCACCCAACACGTTAAGGTTTTAGGTTGGAGTGTTTCTTTAATATGGTATCAGAGTTTCAGTGACCATGAGGTCACCGGGAATCAAACTTATCAAAGGATGCTATCTCATAATAATTATATCATAATATAATTTAATGACACGGTCTCTATTTGATTGATAAAATAGGCTCCCATTGGGCCACATATGGCATTCACAACGATAAATTTGAAACTATCATTAAGTTGAAGCGTGGAAAGAACATTATCAGCCTGCTTAGTGTCACCGTTGGACTTCAGGTATAACAGTAATATTTTGTTATGTACCATGGTCATTCAATTATCCACTTATTGATACTCAAATTTTGTTCCAATTAATAATGTATAATAACATTTAATATGTCTCATTTGTGGAATAGAACTATGGGCAAAACTATGATAAATGGCATGCTGGTCTTGTTGGGCCTATTGAGCTAGTTGCGAGAAAAGGTGATGAGACCATAATCAAAGATCTATCCTCACACTATTGGTTATACAAGGTTGGGTTGAATGGTTGGGATAACAAATTTTTCAGTGAAGGCTCACTCTTTGCTTCTCCTTTAAAATGGGAATCTGATCAGCTACCCACAAACAGGATGTTCACTTGGTATAAGGTAAATTACTAGCTTTCTTCAACAATATTGTATTATTAAAAAATTGTTAACCCTCTAATTAATGTGTGTATAATTTGTAGACCACTTTCAAAGCTCCTTTGGGGTTAGACCCTGTTGTGGTGGATTTACAAGGTATGGGAAAAGGTTATGCTTGGGTGAATGGTCAGTGTCTTGGTCGCACATGGCCTAGTTACAACGCTGATGAGGATGGTTGTAGTGATGATCCTTGTGATTACCGTGGTGATTATTCTGACGAAAAATGTGTTACCAATTGTGGGAAACCCTCACAGAGATGGTTAGTTGACTTGCTCTAATGCCTTACCCTTTTTTTTTTCATGTTAATTTTAATTACTATTTTATTTTATTTTATCATAAAAAATTTGGAACTAACGAGTTTTTTAAATAATTTAGGTACCATGTCCCTCGTTCATTTATTCAAGATGGTGTGAACACATTGGTTTTGTTTGAGGAAATTGGTGGTAATCCATCACTAGTGAATTTCCAAACAGTTATTGTTGGCACTGCTTGTGCAAATGCTTATGAGAATAAGACTTTGGAATTGTCCTGCAATGGTCGTTCCATCTCGGCTATAAAGTTTGCAAGTTTTGGAAATCCACAAGGTGTATGTGGAGCATTTAGCAAGGGCATTTGCGAAAGCAAAAATGATGCTTTGCCCATTGTGCAAAATGTAGGGTTTTTATTTTTATTTTTTTTTCAAAAGTATATATGTCGTGATGAATTAACTAACCTTATTTTTTGGGCTTTTTTATAGGCTTGTGTGGGCAAGGAATCGTGCTCAATTGAAGTTTCAGAAAAAACATTTGGGTCAACCAGTTGTGGAGATATGGTTAAGAGGCTAGCTGTGGAAGCAGTTTGTTAAGTTTTTTAGTATGTGAATAATTAGGTTGATCTAGTTTAGTTGTTGTTTTGGTTTTCTTTTTTCTTTTTTTCGAACCGAGGTTGTTCAGTTTATCTAGTTGTGGTTTCCTCATGTCTAAGTTATTAGTTAAACGTATGTCTTCTTGAGTCTTTGAAGTTGAAATTAAACTCATAAGATCTGTTATTATAAATAAAATTTAGAGGTATTTATGTATAGTAATATTCACTCTTTATTCTGATTGTTGATTCAGTTTGCTGGCACAAGAACCAAAACCTAACTCCGAAAATCGAGATTTCTTTTGACTACGAAATGCAGAATTTCAAAGTATCTGGAAAGTAAGCTTGATTTTTGTTATCAACCATAATTCTTGACAACGTTGTGCGTGGAAATACAAGAACAAATAAAAATATGTGAATGAGTAATAAATCTCATCATTATTAAGGAGTTTGATTTGAAAAATGATAACCGTTGGAGAAAATCAACGGTTAAGTTGTGGTAGTAACATTGGTAGTAACATTATTTGGTTGTCACAATATCCTATCCCATAAAAATAAGTTAAGCTTTTAAGCCTTAAGAAAATCTGGTTCTTACGAGAAATAATTAAATCTTGTTGAAGTGCCATTTGAGATTGTATTCATTTTATTATTCAAATTTTCACATTTAAGTCTTAATTAATAATAGGATCTACATCTTATTTGTTGATTATTTCAATCTTATTTTTATTTTTTTTAAATAAATAAAAAATATGTGAATGAGTAATAAATCTCATAATTATTAATTAAGACCCAAATTTCAATACGTGAATATAATGAGCATAATAAGAGGTTATGCTCATTATATTGACGTATTGAAATTTCGGACTTAATTAATAATGAGATTTATAATAATGAGCATAATATAAAGGTGTTAGTTTTGTTTAAAAAAAAAAAAAAAAAGTGTTAGTTCTAGCCACCCAATGTCATCTTTCTTGGTGAAAACTCTGATAGTCAGAGCAAGTGACTTTGGCAGTCTAAACAGATCATAATAATAAACAATTTATGGTTTAATGGCTGCATATTCATCTATTTAATTGGAGGAAAAAAAATGAAAGTAGATTACAAGATAAATCGGTATGATTATGAAATAATTAACGTAGCAAAAAGTAGTTAGGTCAACAATGCGACTTTTCTACATATTCAAAAGAGTGTTGCATGAAGTATATGTTTAACTACATATGCAAAAGTGCAGCAAGAAATAAATTTCAGTGCTCGATTATAAAGAATGATGGGAGCATATGTGGGTGGGAAAAATTGGATCGGTAGAAGCAAAAGTATCATTGCAGTTTGAAATATTAACGAATCATTATAGTTATCTAACATATGAAAGAGTAGACCCCTTGTAATGCAGACGCACAAAGTATCTCTTGTTCATTGTTATGATTCATTGCCTATGCTTCTCTTCATAGAGAAGGGCCACCGTAAAGTCTCCTCAAAATCGCGATTTAAATCGCATAATTGCCGATTTTACGAATTTTTACACAAAAAATAACCTGAATTGGTTGTTGGATCGCATTTGAGCAAGATTGGGTAAGATCGCCGAAGAAGATCGTAAGATTGTGGGATCAAGTGAGATTGCCGATCTTGTTAAACTTTTTGACTCGAATCAACAAACTCATTTACCCAACTTTTGACCTGCTTGACCCAACTTCAGAAATGGGTTTTAACCCAAATAAAAAACCCAACAGCCCAGGTTTCTTTTATTTGTGTTTTTTTTTTTCGCTATTAACTTTTTTATTGGCTCATTTCGCTCTAGGCTCATTTCAACTTCTTTTTTTCGCAGGTTCTTTTTGGCTCGTTTGCTTTTTTTTGGGTCATTCTGCTAACTTTTTTTTTTGTTATCAATTATTTTTATTTCTTATTTGTTTTCTTCCAAAGTCTATTCACTGTTTGTGTGGTTGTTTGTTTTTATTAATATATTTTTTTTTGTTGAATTCCTATTTTGTTTTTCATCTTCTCTTTTATTTTTTCTAATAAAATTATTATTATTATTTTTGCTCTATGTTTCTATTCTGTCTATATTAGATTGTGGTGGTTTGGCAATTGGAAAATGACTTCTAGTGCTAGTGCTAGTAATGATGTTGTTGTTGTCTCTAGTAGAGGAATTAAAATGAAAAATGCTGCTAGAAGTAGGATTGATGTGGGATGGAAGCATGGTGTTGAAGTTGATGGAAGTGGAAGAAAAATTCAATGCAATTATTGCAAGAAGACAGTAACCAGACGTGTTTACCGATTCAAGCACATTTGGCGAGAACACAAAAAGATGTGGACGCTTGTAACTCTGTTCCTGCTGAAGTGAGAAAATTAATGTTTGGAATTGTATATTGTTTACAAGAGAGACTAATGAAGAAATCAATCACATTCACAGAAGTTGTTGTTGATGATGAACTTGGTAAAGAAAGATGTTAGAAATAATATTGTATTGTTATTTAAATTAGTATTTTATTATTTAGATTACTCTAGAAGCTTCTTTGGGCTTAGCCCAATAGGTCATTTAGTCTATGTAAATAGAGAGCTCTTGTACAATTATTTACACAATTCAATACAATACAAAAAATTCATATTTCCATATTCTCAAGTTGGTACCAGAGCTTGTGTTATGGGAAACCTCGCTTCCGCAGAAAACCTTTGTCGTGCATCATTCTGGCAAGTCATCCATGTTGTGCATCATACCGACAACTCATTTTCAGTACCTAACCCTTAGTTGGTCACCAACCGCTTATCCTCAGATCATCAGAAAAATCATTGTCAACCATCGTTATCACCGGAAACCACCGGCTGCCACTGTTCACCGCTGTAGAGCACTTTTCTGGCGAGTTTTTTTGGCAAATAGCTGCGTGATAATTCATATTTATTACACTTATTTGTTACTCTTGATTAGTGATTTTTGGATTGTTTAGCGTATAAATAATAATTTTTGAGTTAAATTAGATGTTGGGTTTTTAATTGGGTTTATTTGGAATTTCGTAATAAAAATCCAGATTTACGTTACTGTAGTATTTTGACCATAACTCATTTCACATGTGTCTGATTGACCCCATTCTTGTTGCGTTTTGTAGATAACTCAGAGGGCTACAAATATTATGAAGACATGAAGCCTATTTTGAACAATAGGATGGTCGAAAATAGCCCAAGTTCTTCATGAGTTGTTGCAGTTTTAATTAGTTAATTGAATTTAAGTTTGTAATTGGGAACCCAATCTTTATGAGGCCCAAATCTATTATTTATCTTTTATTTCCTTTTATACTAGGTTAAACTTGTAGAGCCTATACAAAGGCATGATTAGGAGACCTTATTATGGAGATTTAGATTTAGTTTTCATTTTGAGAGTTTATGTTTTTACAGTTTCAAGATTCAATTGCAATTTACGTTTTCTCTCTTCTACTCTTTTGTTTTTCTTTATTTTCTGAATTTCAATTATGGTTTTCTACGTAGCCATGCTAGGCTAAGTGTTCTTTGATCAATCCAAGAATTAAGGATTCCGCGGTTGAATCCGGAAGATCTGTGCTTCATCTTGATCCAAATCGTTTCTCTTCCTTCAACTCGGATTCGAGTTCTGCGATTGCACCTGAGATAAGTGATTAAACATTAGATTTAATGGTTAGTTTGATTAACCCGATGAACTCAAGTCAAACGGGATGATACTCCGCGATTGAGCGAGTAGATGCGCCGTATTGATCAAACGATAGGTGATCGTCTAGAGAGGGGTTCCTAAGCAATTGCAGGGATTCCGAATTGCTTAGGGTCAACCACGATTTGGCAATCCTTTGTCCAATGATGGATATCTTGGAATCCTAATTCTTAGGTTGATTTCTTTTAATTGATAATTTCCGTTTTTAAATACTTGATTTTACTTTCTATTTTTAATCACACAAAACCCCCATTTTTACTTCTTGTTTTTAATTGATCGATTAACATCCTTGCAAAATTTCTTGAGATAGATGATTTAGGTTGCCCACTTTATTACAAATTCTTATTTTTATAAACCTGATTAATTTGAGTGAGTTCGACAGCTCACGTCACTACGCGACCAGGACTGGCTCGAGGAGGCGACCTCATCTGTCCAAGTCGCGCCATCACCGGAGCAGCCACACGCCGCCATGCACCGGTGGAAGAATCCGGTGATTGAACACTTTTCTGACATATGAGAGAGCATTTGGCCACCGTTCCGGGTTGGATCACCACCATCTTGCTCGCCTTCTCGCCTTCTTTCCAGATTTGGTCTCCATTGGTTGTGGGTCCTATCCGTTAAGAAGATGCCAGTAATAAACTCATTGTTTGGAAACTTTTTTGCAATGTTTAAGCGTGATTTCTTGTTTCTTTATTGTTCTCTAGTCGACTCTATTATCCAGTTGATTCACTTTATACCTGACATTCCTTACAATTTATCTCTACTAGCCAGTTGAGTCATTCTCTTCCATGCACTATTACCTTCTCTGATCAATGTCTTTATGCAGGATTCGAGTATAGGGAAGACGATTGGAGCAAACCGTGATTCACGTGGTCTTTACTATCTGACTGTGCCTCATTCTCTAGTGGCGTCCTCTCTCATGGAGTGTCCTAAACTAAGCCATAGTCGTCGTTGTCATCCAAGTCTCTCCAAGCTTTAGTATATGGTTCCTTTTTCTCCAGTTTTTAGTTTTTAAACTGTCAGTCTTGTCAGCAAGGAAATCATACTCGCTCCTCCATTACTAATAGAGTCAAGAAAAGAGCTGATGCTCCATTTTCTATTGTTCATTATGATATTTAGGGTCCGAGTCAAACTATGTCTTTTTTTATTTTTCAGTATTTGTGACTTTTGTAGATGATTTTTGCTTGTTGTACTTGGGTTTATTTAATGAAAAATCGTTATGAATTATTTTCTATCTATCAAAATTTTTGTGTTGAGATTAATACTCAATTTGGTGCTTCTATTCGATTCTTGCACAATGATAATGCGAAAGTGTATGTATCTCTTGAATTTTC